TATATATATATATATATATATATATATATATATATATATATATATATATATATATATATATATATATATATATATATATATATAAAGTGTTTTCGGAGCGCGGGCGTTGAGGATGCCAAGTGGGATTTTGGCGGGGCGTCTGCGGGATTCCGGTCGGATGCAGGATTTGCAGGATTCCAGTCGGATGCAGGATTCCAGTCGGAGTTCAACGAGCGAACGGATGATATCCCGGAGTATAGTGTCATCATATATATATATATATATATATATATATATATATATATATATATATATATATATATATATATATATATATATATATATATATATATATATATATATATATATATATATATATATATATATATACATATAATATCTAAGAATAGGAAATTATTATTATTTTCTAATTCAATGGTAAAGCGTGTGTTAGGATGTACAGAGTTTAAATTGGTAAGAAAATCTTGCAGAGATTCTTGAACAAGAGGCCAAATAACAAAAGTTTAATCAAAATCTCATTTCCATAATTTTAGTTTTAGATGGAAGGTATTGAGGGCTTTGTTTTCAAAAGCTTTCGTAAACACATTCGCGGTGACTGGTGATAATCGAGAACCCATAGCTGTTCCCGAAGATTGTTCAAAAATCTCACTGTAATAAGAAAAATTAACATGAGAACTTTTGGTTCCAGATTCTCGGAGTTGTTGTTGAGAGTTTCAGGAATAGGAACTTTAGGAAAGGAGGATTCTACATTCTTCTACAAGATAAAACCAAAATTCTTGTATGTAATCAATTCTTCTACCAGCGAAAAATCAGAGAATCTATTGAAATGTATAAGCAATCTTAACCGCGACTCAGGTCTTTCACCTTTCACCAATATGGGAATTAGTCATCTGAGACAATGCTCATGCCCCTCCTTTAGCCCCTCGTAGAAATAATATAATAAATAATAATAATAAAGATTTGTAAATAGTATTACACTAGCCCTAGCCTGTGGAAGTCTCATTGAAAAGGTTTCGTTACTGTTCCAACATTCCCTATCTCATATAATTTTTTTTTATGATTTGATTTCGTCATATATAAATAACATTTTGAGTGCCGTCGGTCCATTTATTAGGGGACGTTTTCGCGCGTCAGCCGAAATGTCGAAAATAAGTCCACTTAACGGGCCATTTACACTGTAAATTTTGCCGCCGATGTAGTAAACTGTCGTCGTACCGGAAATAGAAAGCACACATACCGGTTGTCCGAATTCGGATTTGTTGACGCTGCACCGGAGGGCAGAGTGAGGACGCAATAGCCATCGTTTTTAAACAAGGAAATTGGAAGCCGGACAATGCAAATTTCGTCAGGCCCGCACGGCCCCATCTAAATTTTAATTAATTCACTTTATTCGAGTATATTGGCGCCGTTGTTAGATGATGGCGGCCCACTCACAAACACATATAAAATATACTTTTTATTGTCGTAAAGTATATGAACATTAAAATAATTAATAAATGAAGATCTCGGTTAATTTAAACATTATTTTTATTAGTACAAGAACAAAGATCGAATTAAAAAATTTAAATTAAATAACAGAGTCGCGAAACATTAGTTAAGTTCTTTTATTTTTGGAAGATCTCTCACTCTTGGTAGAAAAACTTTGTTAAGGGTTGGATTGTCCCTTTTTAATTACCAGCAGTAATCTGATATTTTTGCAATGTTCTATCAAGCTTGATATCTGCGTTCCATTACTTGTATATCTTGGTGGAATTTGTCACCTTGCTGCTCACTCACTCATAAAAAGGTTAGTTTTATTCTCATATTGCATCCCATTTCTCTAAATTTCTCTAACATGTTTTCTACAATGTCGTTGTCATTTAGTATTCACAAAGTCCTGATCTTCTCTTCTCTTATTTGAAAAAACATTGCTTTCTTTAGTTTAGCATTTTCATGTTCCATCTTTATTTAAAGCTTTAACTTACTGCTTCACCAGCACTAATTTAATATGCAACGGTGGTAAGAGAATTTTTCGTGGATCAATAAGATTATCTTGAAGAACATTTTTTAATCCGGGAATTAAATTAACCCTTATTGGCCAGTCCTTTTTCACCCCAAGTTTCTGTCTGTTTCTATTTTTCCATTCACACAAAAAACAAAGGTACTTCGTATATCCTGACTGTTGACCTAGTAGACGTCCCACAATTTTTAAGTCACCACAAATCATAGAATTATAGTCTTTATATTTGATTGTTAAGCAGTAAGCAGTAATTCTAAATTTTCGTGGTATTTTTTGATTTGCACAGATTTACGTTGTGCTAATGAACAGCTTGGATGAGTCAATAAAAAGCCTCCAATTATCAGAATTGTAGTCTGTACCAAGTTTCTTTATTAGATTACGAATATCGGTACAATAAACAAGTAAACACTTTGTTCAAAATATCCTATAAATTCTATCCCGCGCTTCATGAAATGTGAGATTATTACTAGAATCTTCAATTGTTAAAATATGCTCTACTGCTATCTACAACGATGATTGTGGGCTGAAGATAGATGTAAATTTTCATATTAGAAATAGAATCAAACTTGGATGGGGACGAGACGAAAGCAATTTCAAAATGTAGAGATAGAGAATTTAGTTTTGCTTTGCGGGTATAATAAATTCTTCCTCTTTAACTATATCTACGAAGAATTTTATAAACATATGAGGATTTAATGATGGTATATTTTAAGGAAATTAGAGAATAGAAGACACTAACAAGATGATTGGCGAAATGATAGCAAATTCGATTTGTCAACAACCGTGAATAGTAATACTGTAGCCTGTGGAAATTGCTTTGAAGAATATGCTGCACTGCGTTTTTCCTGATCCCGAGTTTAATATAGAATTAGTAACGTTTCCCGCTCCGATTTGATTTTACTTGGTGCTACAAGTATTCTGGGTGATGCAATGATCCATTAAAATAAGAGACTCACATAAGAGTCTGTCCTTTCATATGTAACATATGCAGCTAAGAGCAGTAGCAACTGTACAGGGTGTTTCATTATAGCGTGAATATTTTTAGACTTCAATACTTTTATTATTAAAATATTAAAGCGTGCTCCTGTGTAATATTTGTCAATCTGCTGCCTTCATACTATTAAAAATGGCCCATAATATAGTTAAATGCATTATTAAGAGTTCGATAAAGCATCTTAGTAATTATTTCATACATTTTTTTATGATTGTTTTAATTGGGACGCCCTGTATTTCTCCTATAACAATTTGGTTATTAAATCAATTAATTAAAAAAAAATAATTTGATAATCGCGTATTATGCGAATGCATATTTGTCTCTTAGTTATGCCTATGGGGTTGTGTTTAATTTAAAGATAAGAAATTTAATTTAAAGACAACAAAATTATAACGGCAACAACAAGAAAACTCTTATTTACATTCAACAGCGGAATCTGTTCTCATAACAACACTTATTACGCATATGCCATAAGAAATAGAAACAACCTTGGTTATGATAAATCGTTATGAGTATATTAAAAAGACATTCCAATATTTTGGCAGAAAATTTTCTTATTTGTCACCAAACGCTCAAACTTCCAACTTTCAAAAGAGAAGTGAAGAGAGTACTATTAAGCTATACTTTCCATACATTGATGAACAATCGGTGAAGCTCTAGAGGAATTTGGTTTTTATTTATCTTTTGTTTTTTTGTGGTGTATCTAATAATAATGTAGCCTAAAAGTTAATAATAAAATATATAAATAAAAACATTTACAAAGATGGATTAATTTATTGCTATCTAGTGGGCCCTGAATGGTAAATAAATTAAAATAAATTTCTATACAACGTTTACTACGTTGTTTTTCTAGTTTGCGCTTTGGTATTACCAAATAATATTTAAAAGTGGGTATTTTTTTGGTTTTACTTACAGTCAGCAGCTAAAGAAGGAATATAAACACAAACAAATATAAACAGAAGGAAGAAAAAAGGATTATTTTGATTAAGATGTGATGACTAGACTAGACTAAACTAATTAACGAATATCCATATTTGTGGAAAATAAAAATTAGAGAAACAATTAATTAGCGATAAAAAGTGTTTTCAACTAACGAGGGTGGTAATACTTTAAATTATATTGTATCATTTTTTATTTTATATTCAGAGCTTACTAGATAAGCGATTTGTTATTGTATTGTTGTAAATGATCAATAAAAACAAACATTAAGGAAAAACTTGAATCAATTTGCATAAGGAAATCTTAACGAAAGTTCTAAAGATGCCATAGCTGAACAAAATAAGGTAGTTCGATACAGGGTATTCCATTAAAAAAAATCAATGAAAATTTAGTTTAAAAGTCATCAAGTCGGCAAGACTTTGAAAAATACCCTGTACAAAATAAATACTCTTGTAAATGCATTTTTAATATTATAAAGGTAGCATATTTTAGGAATAGATCAAGTCATCATCAAGTTGGCAACATCGCATTCAAATTCAAATCAGGGTGTCATATGAATATTTCTCAGATGAAAAAACATACAGTGTTCCATTTTATTTATATATTAATTTTTCAAAGTGTTTATGAAACACCCTGTACAATATTTGTAAGTAACAATTATTTATTAATTAATTTTCATTATTCTGATAAACATATGAGGTTGCCATGATTGACATGAGGTGTTGCAAGCGACACAAGGGTATTAATTGTTTTGGCAACATGTGTTACTAAGTAAGCAGTTATTAATTTGGATTACAAGACAGTGAAGAGTATTCAAGCGTCTTTGATATCAACATAAAAGACAATTCTTCTAAAAAAAAGGTAGAGGTTTGTTTTTAAAAAAATCATTGTAATTTTTAAATTCTATTTTAATCGATTTTGACTCTATTTACTTTCCCATGACTATATTTCTTTAAATATGATTATATTTCTACTGTAGAATATTCTATAAATCATTTTTGGCATTAACAACATTTCGTTTTAGCTTTAAAAAATAATTGTTAAGGGTAATGTGATTTGTATACCTACCCTTTTATCTTCTGTCGACCGATTTGCGCTCTCCTGTAATAATATAATTTTAGATTAGTAATTAGTATTTTACTTCATTTTCGACCCTAGAAAATTTATAAAACATAATAAAAAACATTTTCAATATATTTCTGGGTTGCAATATTTGCAAAATTTTGGTGTGTTGATTAGTTTTAGCCAAGTTATAGTGTCATGTTCTTTATCGCAACAAAGAAAGTATTATCATAGGTTAGTGTAAAATCATAGGTTATAGATAACGATGTTCGACTTGAGTTGACATATAGAGAGTGAAATTTGACCACGCCTTTATTTTTAGAAATCGAATGCTATAAGTTGCTTTACAAGAAGTGGAATTTCGAAGATCTGATAATTCAGAAGAGAACAGGAATGGTTGTTTACAACAGTCACAAGGTCGATCTAGCTGCAAATTATTTTAACTGACACGTTAAATTTCCATTCGGCATGAAGCAATTGAAACAGCAACACCACACACAAATTAAAAAATGTACTTGAATTACATTATAGATAAAAATGGACGGAACTGCCATCATAAACTTCTAAAGCAATGTTTCTTTGAAATCCGTCTAGTAAAATGTTACGAAATTTATGTTATTACATAAATTTATTATACCGGTATTTGTTGTTATTTATTTAGAAGATATACTGAAGAAATTTATCAACGCGTTCCATAGTATACTTTTTGCTTTTTAGTATACTATCAATTAGCTCAATTAATCAATTTTTTTTTATTAGTTTTTTATAGTTTATCCTTGATGTGAATTTTCCCCTTATTTGGGTTTCTGTATGACTAAAAATCTCCAAGTGGCGATTTAAACTGGATGTTTCGAGAACCATAGTGATTGTGATGATAAATTGCCAAAAAATTGGTGCAAAGAGCTAATTATTTATAATATTATAATTATGGACATTTTTGACTGTAGTTTGAAAACAACTTTGACCCTAGAATTCAAACTTGCTTCAATATTCAGGGTATAACTGATCCGCCATAGAGCAACAGATATCAATATAAACCAAAATAAGAAGGTTTAAAATGTGGTGTGATGGCAACTGGAAACTTAATTACCAAATTGAAAATTTCAGTTATTTCCAAATAGGTAAAAATATCAAAAGTTTCGTAGGTAGGAACTCCAAATTCGGTATTAGTGTCAAGCTCCAGTCAACCTTCAAATAGATTCTCCGTTTTAGGTAAAAATATGCATCTCACAGATCGTATCATGAAAACTGTCATTGTTATTAATCTCTTATGCCTGTGTGTCATTAAATTTAAGAAAAATATCACTTTCAACACATTGCGCATTTTCATGCACTAACATACGTATTTTTCTTCTGTATAGGGAGTTCCATTTTTCTAAAATACAACTTACTTTTAGCACTTGTGGTTCAACCTTTAGAGAAAGTAAGCACTTAACCGAAATGTTAAACTTCGTCAAAAACTTTTATTTTGGTCACCACATTCGACACTGTTTAGCTTGAATAACCCTGTATAAAACGTTTTGATTACCAAGGTCAGTTGATCATACTTTTAAAGTATTTTTTATAGCGGAACAACTTGAGAGGCAGAAAATTAAAACACCGCGCTTTCCCGACCGATACAAAATTAATCCCCGATTGTTCATTCAAACTTTTATCAGATTCATAATTTCTCGCTTTAATCCTCGATTCGCGTTTCCCCTACAACAGCTGTAACGAAGATTGGACCGAAATAATAAAGTTAACGGCCCGACATCTAAGTTTTACCTGAAGAGAGTTGAAATTCTGTTCGAAGCCGCAAAAGTTTGTTTATACCAAAGTTTCGGTGAATCGAAACGCGTTGCCTGCATAATGCTTAAAACATGGCCCCATAAACACATCTACTTATTGTTGCACTATTGTTCGATTTTGTTTACATTCTGGTTAGTCCAAATATCGTTGTAAGTGAAAACCGGTATTATCGTGCGACAATAACTAACTTTCCTTTTGCTTTTATATTCATTAATTGTAGCTTCAAATAAAATTCGTAAGAAAAATGTGACCGATGTATATTATCTGGATATAAAAAAGGATATTTTCATCTTAATGCATTAAAGAATAGTAATAGTAATAGTTTCCTTAAAAAATATATTCTAAAATGAGAAGGCGTTAAATGTTTGACCGTGGTCTAATGCTTCTGTTATTCTGTTGTTATTATTAAGCATATTTATATTATTATTTAAAAATATGTACATGGGAGAGAGTATAGTTTGGCAACAATCGACTCCAGTCAAACATTTGATTTTTTTTCTAAAGTGACAGTTTATAATCGAATACAAAATATAAAAAATGGCGTTCGTTCAACAGCTGTTTTTTCGAAAATAAATGTCAGTATCTTCAGAATGGCTGAAAGCATTTTGTCAAATTTGTTCAAAAGGGGTCTGAGCAAATTTATTTCGATTGTTTGTAGCGCCGCTAGGGGGCGTTATGCAACATCATTATAAATAAAATTATTTTATTGCAACAAAAGATCGCCAAATACGCTTCTAACACCCTAGTGAAAACCGCATTTTAATATTGTAAATAAAAACCAAATAATGTCGGTATCTTTCGGAATATTTTTATTTAATTTTTTATTTTTTTTCTTTTTATTAAATATCAATATTCGTTCTTTTAGCACAATATACATAAATTTACTGTTAAAACGCCAACAATATGATTAATAATAATTAATATTCATTTCAACAGATCAATTGCGTTTCCAATGTTCTGAAAATTGTGGTGAAGTGTATTTTGTGATGGAACGTTTAATACATTTTTCTACTCCTGTCTGTAAAATACCTAATTACCCACCAATCTAGCGCGCGGGAAGCGTCACTTTACCACGTCAGTTTCGTTTCCCACGAATCCGAGCCACTTCGGATATTGACGGGATTTTACCGCACGGATTTGGGAGCAATCGGATGTTTTCTCAGATATTTCCCACGCTTTGAATATTCACGTTTGTCAATTCTGACGGTCATGTCAGTGAATGTATTAGTGTTGTTTTGCGAAAATGTACCCAAAAACTAACGGTCGTAGAAAAAGTATAGTATGCAACACGTTCGGTAAACTCACTCGTTTATTAAAAACTCGCTCCGCTCGTGTCAAATAAACTCGTGAGTCAAATGCCGTTCACCTCACTTGTTGCATAATATACTATTAATGTGGATTTTTGTCTCTGTCACCAATATTGGAATCAGTCATCCGAGACTGTGTTTATGCCCCTCATTTGGCTCCGCTCCCCACAAACAACATAAAAGCAGGTACAGAGTAAAATGCGAGCCAGTTTCAGACAAGCTCTGAAGAAGCCAACAGGATGATCGAAACGTTAACTATTTCGAGTCAACAAAAACCGACGCAGCAGGAATCCAGAAGTTTTATAAAAAGACATTTGATTATTTATTTATTGAACACTAGCTCTGATACACTCCGCTCGTGGCAACTAAACTCGTGACTTTTAACGAACGTGGTGCATACTATAATTTTTCTACAACCGTTGGTAGGGGTACATTTTGCAAAACAATTCACTGATATTAGCGTCAGAATGAGCAAACGTCAAAATTCAAGCGGTGCGGCATTATCTCCGAAAACATTCCATTGCTCCCAATATCCCGGAAATGTCCGAAGTGACTCGGATCTCTGAAAACCGAAACTGACGTGGTAGAATGACGCTTTCCGCACGCTGAATCGGTGTATAATTAGATATTTTAAGGACGGGAGTAGAAAAAGTTGGTTGTTGGGATTTGAAAAACACTTCTACAGGTGGAAAAGGCATTTTTTTACAAGGCCACCGAAATGCAAATAGCTGCAATCTTAATATGGTAGACACTTAAACGCCACCATTATAATAATATAATGTTGCTATTTTCAAAGTAAATTTGTATAAAGTATAAAGTAAAGTATAAATGTGTATTATTACAACTTTAGAATCTACGAAACATTCTGGAACTTTTTTATGTAACATGCACCACACCTATCTTGAACATTTTCGGAGATCAAGAATACTTTTTAAGAAATTAGGCGACAAAGAACCCGATATATAATAATATTTTTTTTGAAACCCGTACAGCTATATACTTGAATTTTTGGCCGCGGTTCCCTATTAAACTTGCTTTATCATAATATAGTATGAGAACTAAATTATCGCCTACAGTGCCTTCATAAGATAAAACCCAGTTGGCAAGATATAAAAATCCATATTAAGTGGGAATTTCAAATGGATCACTCACGTAAATGAGTAAATTTGCCATCTAATAGTACCCAGCTATGGTATATCTATTTTCATTGATTCTCGAGTTATAAGCAATAAACCAAACATGCAATTAAAGAGAATTAAAGTAATCACATTTCATCTCGGTAGCAGGCTCTGGCCGGCCATGGTGACGTTTTCTATAAAAAAAAATAGCTAGCATGTCTAGCATTCGGATTTCTCATTTTCATAGTCAATAGTTGCATTTGTTTAAGGAAGCGATTTCAGATTGAGAAGATTTAATGAAAAATATCCACATTTGCCAAAAAATTTTCGAAACCTACGAAGAAGGGAACTTCCAAAGCCTGTTACAAACTCAGAAGGAAATGAAACGAACGTTTTAGCATACTTTCACGAACCAAATGCGTCCATTCCGAGCACTAAAGATAATTTAGGCATATGTTATTTGTCCATTCAACAGATACTGAACAAACATAATATGCATAGTTACAAAATAATTACATTACAATCTATTCTCCCTCCTGATGCAAATTACGCATAGAGTTTTGATGAAATGTGTTTCCGATGCAAGAGGAATCCAGAAGATTTGTAAATAGTACCACAGTAGCCTGTGGAAGTTTCTTTGAAAACATTTTTTTTGTAATTCTTTTTTCATGCTCGCACACATCTATCAGAATTATTTTCATGAACATTTATTGCAGTAAACAGAAAATATACATTCTATGAACTATATTACACACAATAAATCAATAAATATAACAAAATAACAAAGGATCGTAGTGTTTTGGGGCACAATATCGTTAAATTGAAA